AGATATAGACTTACAAATCACAGTTATATGATGATGGATTGTGTCCCTAATTGCAAGGGGGTGGGGGAGAAATGCAATAAGGAATAAAAAAGACAAAGCCTTGTAATTTCTCTCTCTCTCTCCAAGATTTATTACATCTCTGAAAACCATACCCTCTATGAACTAATGAAGGCGATTTTCTCTCTCCAGTCGCTTTATTTTATTTATGTATTTATTTTATTTATCAATTGCTTACAAGATAATAGGTACAAGTATAAACATGAGTAAGAATACAGGAAATAGGTACAAATAAATGGGGACAATAGGACAGGGATGGTAGGCACGATGGTGCACTTATGCATCCCCTTACAGACCTCTTAGGAATGGGGTGAGATCAATAGGGGTTAGTTTGAGGTTGAAAGAGTGGAGGTTTGAGGATGTAACAACAGAGTCAGGTAGTGCATTCCAGGCATTGACCACTCTGTTGCTGAAGTCGTATTTCTGCAATCGAGTTTGAAGCGGTTTAATTGAGTGTGTATCTGTTGTGTGCTCTTGTACTGTTGTGATTGAAGCTGAAGTAGTCATTGACTGGTAGGACATTGTAACAAATAATTTTGTGTGCTACACTTAAGTCTAACCATAGGCGGCATAGTTCAAGGTTGTCCAAGCCCAAAATCTCAAGCCTGGTGATATAGGGTATTCTGTTGCAAGCCGAGGAGTGTAATACTCTTCTTGTGAAATACCTCTGGACTTGCTCAATTGTATTAATGTCCGATATACAGTGCGGATTCCAGACTGAAGAGCTGTATTTGAGTTTTGGTCTAGCAAAAGTTTTGTATGCTCTAGTTAGCAATTTGATATTTCCGGAGGAGAAGCTTTGTAAGATTAGATTTACAACTCTTAATGCCTTTTTGGCAATGTTGTTACAGTGAGCTCTGGCGCTTACGTCATTTGATATGAGAACTCCAACGTCCTTGACAGAGTGAGGATCATCAACAAGGTCATATCTGCCTAGTTTGCATTTGGTGTACTGACTTTTTTTACCAATGTGTAGGACAGAGGATTTGTTGGTCGAGATTGGAGTTGCCAATTGTTTGACCGTTCAGATTAAGGTCACTTTGAAGGACAGTAGCATCGTCGGTGGTGTTGAATAGTTTCACAGAATCTGCAAAGAGAACACAGTTGCTTATAAGGTGATTGCAAAGGTCATTTATATAGAGCATAAAGAATGTGGGCCCTAGAACACTGCCTTGGGGGACACCGCTGTTAACTGGAGAAGGGTTTGATATAACGCTCCCTATTTTTACTATTTGTTGTCTGTTTGACAGGAACACAGTAATCCATTTATGAAGGGATCAGGAAATGCTGTAAGAGTTTAGTTTTATCATCATGTACCATTGAATAAAAGGCTTTGCAGAAGTCTATGTAAATTGCATCTATAACTTTACCCTAGTCGAGTAGAGTAGTCCATATGTTTTTGCAGTGTAGGAGTTGAAGATTGCAGGACAATTACTTCCATTGTGTTGGATGCAGCCCATTACAGCCCACCAACTCCATTCAGTTAAATTATTATTTTTTAAATGATGTTGGTATCTACCTGAGTGAAATGTATAAATAGGTAGTCCTCACTTATTAATGGTAATCGTAATCAGAATTACTATTGCTAGAAAAAGGGGTAGTAAAGGGCAATATCATGTGATCATGCCACGACAGCAATTCTATCAATCCCCTGTTACTGTTGTGAGAGAATTATCACAGCTTGTTAAGAGAGAACTTCACATGACTGTACCTTTCAACTTCCTGATTGCTTCCCCATTTTCTTTGCTTGGGGGAAAACTGACAAATTGCAATCACATGATTGTGGGAGGCTATGATGGTTGGAAATCCAGACCACTTACTGAGCACCTGGATCATGATCACATGACTGCAGGGAAACTGTGACAGTCAGAATTTCGATGACTGGTCTTATGAACTGCTCATTCAGGGCAGTGAATGGTCACTGAAAGAGTGATTGTTAACCAAGGACCACTGTATTCTGATTTGGAAATTGCTTTTCTACCCAAGAAAAACAGAAGTTTTCATTGTGATTCTTCGTGGAATAAAAAATGAGAATGAGAAGTATTTCTTTCTTTAGATTTATGTGCTGCCCATCTGTTTAGAGGCACATTCTTAGATTCCAGAAGAGTATTGCAGTTGTGTGAGTCTGTTACGACAACCCAAAGCCCCAAAGGTTTTCAGTTTATTGCCTGTAAAGTGCAACCCATCTCCTCACTTATGGGCCTGATAAAGTGGACTGAAGTTTCATAGAAATGTCCAATTTCTTCATCTTTATGACTTTGTAGTCTTTGTTGCATATTTTCCAAAGTATTTTTCTTTATGTGGAGTTTAGTTCTCTCAGAAAACTGCTTTCACATCAACTTTTGCCTGAATAGAGCAAGTTTGATCCCCCTGGCTCAATACAACTTTTCTCTGTGCTGCCTCAAAACTCTGGAAATGTTTATTCCTGGTGTGCTCTTGTTTTTGTCTCTAAAGAGTTGCCATTTCACTGAAAATGGCCTTTCTTTGTGATCTTTTTCAAAAACAAGGCGGCAACAGAGCATTTGCAGAAGTAAGCTTTTTACCCTTTGCAGGATGCAGGTCTTCTGCCAAAAATGAAAATTTCTGGGCCACTGATGTATCTAATTGTCTGAGTTTGCTTTAATTCTTTTCTGTCTTACACAGCTGGAATAATTTTGATAAGCATTGAAATCAGGACAATTTTGTTAATATGTAAGTCTGCTTTAAATCAGTAAGACCTTTTCCAAGTGGATTGGACTGAACTGTAGATCTCTAGCTATTTTAATGCATCCGAACCCCTATCTGCTGCATTGAAGTATCTTTCATTATTTATAGCATGATTTTCTTGGATAATTCATAGCAATTTATATGACACCTGAAATGTTGCTTGCTCATTAATGGGCTGATCTAGTCCACAGAGGTTTAATTCAGAACCTTAACAGTGACATGAGTGTTCATTTTAAGGCCATATGTATACTGTTCTCTGGATTTGTTGGTTGCCAATTCCCACAAGGGCCAGCCATTATAATGACTCAGAAGGATGGAACAGCATCTGGAAATACATAGGTTCCTTAACCATGCCATATGATACTCAGATCTCTTTGAAGGAAATGTAATTGGAGCTGAGAAGAATCCAACTAGGTTTCAGAAGTATTCTATTAGGTTATAATGAGAGAATATGGATGCTGATAGTAAACAGTGTGTGTAAATAATGTACCAGATATATTGTTCAGGAGTAGACCACCATAGTTTTTTTTCCTGGTACCTGCAAAGTCAATAAAACCACAAAGATTAAGTTAAATGAAACTAACTCAATGGAAATTGATTTTTCTAAATGTCAAGTTGAATCAGTCTCTTAAGACTATATCTTGTTCTGGGTTGCTATATTTGTCTTCTCTTGGTGAAACCACCTTAGGCTTTTTCTTTAGTGTGCTACAGATGTGATTCCTTTATCCAAAAATACGTTCTAGTTATTTTTAGTTTGTTCCAGCCTAGTTTTGTTTCCATGTCTGTTAATATTACCCTTCTTACTTATCTATTGCTCAATAGAGTCATTTTTAAGTAATAATAAATAAAATCCAAGTAGAAACATAGTGTGTGAATTGATACTATTGAAATGGTTGGAGTGAGAAGAAATGCATTCACTGAGAATCTATTGCTGGTATAGAGCGATGTCCTCACTTAATCAATCACTAATACCCCTTTGATATGTCCTATTTGATAAAATAAGGGATGTACTTTTGTGTTGAAGCTGTGGTGAAAAGAGAAGTATCATGTAAAATGAAAAGCTGAATTCACAAGTGAAGGTTCATAACTTGATTACTGAAATATTGAGTCATAATTTCCATTTGATTAGTGCAACACTATTTTTTAAAAAAATGCAATAAACAAGCACTGAAAGAAACAAGCTCCATCTCTTTTCAATAGAACAATCTTATGCCCTCAGCTGGCATGTCAGTGGTTTTATGTGATCTCCCTAATGTGGAGTCAATTGGGCCTGCTATTTTTTATTTTAATTCAAAAGGTTTGCATTCCTCTCAGGAGGCTGAGATCAATTGCCCTGGCAGTGGCTGCCTTGAAAGAAGAAAAAAAACGAACCAAAAATATATCGGAAAAAATGTTTTTTTTCAATCAATCCTCACGACAGACCAATAGTTACTAAGTGTAAAATATCAAGAAAAGCAAACAAGAAGCAGAGAGAAGAAAGTATTATAAAGATTTGTGAAAAACCCATCACATCACTTCTACTATTTTGTAAATAAATGCTGTTTTCTGTCTTCTGATTTGGGCGATAAATAGGTGAAAAGCAACATTCACGCTTATGCTATAGAAACACCCAGTCTGTTTCAACTGCATCTACTTTAGGCAGCTCGCTCCAAAACTGTATGCTCAGTCATGCTCCTTTAACTGGAAAGATAAGCCTGCTTTTCTGGTCTCTGCTCAAAACTGTGTGACTCTGAAGTGCTTCACTGCATTAGATGGGATCCTTCCAAACTAAAGAGCATGTCCGAAAAAACTCCAGGCCTCACATGCTGATCTCAGTGGAATGTTAAATTATTTAACCTAGGCTGCAAGTGGTTACATTTAAAAAGAGGGTAGAGTTGAATATGTTCTGCAAACTAGTATAATTCAATCAAGCTCAACGGTCTTTCCACTCTGCAAGTACTCAGGTGAATTGCATGCTAAATTTTTAAGATCGATCTGTTGACACAGTTCTTTTCGGAGAGGTCATTACTCCCATCCTGTTAGAGAACTCTACACTGGCTGGTTGGGGAGTGGGAGTAACTGTATGGCAGCAGAAGGGTTAATTCATTTCCCCCCCTCACTTTGCCAGTTTCAAATTACAATGAGAAGCCTCTTCTCTCCCAGCAGGGTTGTGCTTACATTAGCTTTCAGATCTCTTGAAGGGAACTGCTCTATTTTTGCCTGGTAGAGGTAAAAATCACTTTTAAGGAACTGCAAAAGATTGGATGGATATTGAGAAGGGGAGGGATCCTGTTTTTTGTTTTGTTTTTTAACATCCCTGGATGAATTCAGAGGAAGACGTTTTCAAGCCTGTGATGCATGTTTCAGATGGGCTGGACATTACAAATGTTAATAGGCTCAGCTGGGTGCTGAAAAAAAAAACCACCAAAGGGAAATTGCACCATCACCAAGCAGTAGTTGAAGACAGAAAACTGGCATTCAGGAAAGGACAGCAAGGTGAAGAAAAGTTATCTAGGTTGGGATTAGGAACCAGAGCATGAGGGGACTCTGATGTTAATGGTAGTTTGACAAGATTCAAAACTGTTCAAAACTATCTTCAAGTCTGATGATCTCAAGGTTTTGACTAGGAATGCCTGCATCAAATGTTCAGCTTCTGGGAACCTGTTCCACCCGTGCAGGAGAAACAGTTAGAGCAATAGAAAACTGGATGTCTGAATTTCAGCTTTCATAGAACTGCAAGCCGCTCGACACAGCCCATCATACTTAAGGAAGAAGTGGAAGGAGATGATCAAGATGGGAGATACAGAAATGGCAATGCTGACATGAGGCATAGGTAATTCATCGTTCATTTTTTTATTTTTTTTATTTAACCTTTCTTGGTCCCGGGAACACCAGATTTCATAAGAGACCAGAAAAAGGAAAATACAACATTATTTGAAAGTTATTTGTGTGTTTATTTTATTTTAAAATGGACCAAACTCTGTTCAAAGTTCTATTGAGCTTACTCTGGAATTACTGGCTTTTAATGGATTATGCTAAGGCAGGCATGGGGAACAACCATGTCCACTCCAGTTTTATTTATCGGAGATTGCGGAACCATGAGAGGCGAGAGATCCAAAGAGAAATTCTTTCCATCCTGGGTTTACCTCATAGACCCCGGCCATTTTCAGCTGGAAAACAAGCTTCCTCAGCACCTCTCTTCATGCTGGATCTCTACAACGCAATGACAAATGAAGAGGATCCTGAAGAGTTGGAATATTTGGTGAAGGGATCCCCAAGCGGAGAGGGCAAAGGGCTACGGAAAGGCTACTTGGCATCTCCAAATGGATATTCCCGAAGAATATACATATCACGGACAAGTTCACTTCCTACACAAAATCCCACCTTAGCTAGCTTGCACGACACCAACTTTCTGAATGATGCAGATATGGTCATGAGTTTTGTCAATTTAGGTATGTTGCCAATTTCATTTTGTTTTCCTTTGTTTGAAATCTCTCTGGGGTAGACAGAATAGGAGAGCAAGAGCCCTTTTAAAGGCAAAAATTGGCCCCTAGAAGATGTGCTACAAGTACAAAAATGAGTTGGGCTAATGGTAAACCAGCTACTAAGTAGGTACCCTGTTTCTCCAACAATACGGCCTCCCCCAATAGGGAGTCCCAGCATGTTTTATAGGCATGAAATAAAATTAAGCCCCTCCCCCCAAATTAAGGCCTATATTAAAACATGCGAAATGGGGAGAATGGTGGGGGGGCTTGCCGTTAGGAAGTACTTTTGTTGCACACCCGGATATGGTGCTGCCTGCGTTGACCCTGATATGAAGTGCCCCACCAACACTGAGGTCAACATCGAAGCCGTAGCCGCCCGCCCGAAGATGCAAGTGGGGAGGGGGAATTAAGTCACCCCCGAAAAGACGGCCTAGCCATTTTTTCGGGGCTCAAAAAAAAATAAGACCCAGCCTTATTATATTAGAAACATGGTAGTCCTGGGTAGGGGGAGTTTCTCTTACCTTTAGTATAAAGTCAGTTGCCCTTTGTTTTTCTTCTTTCATTGATGTAATTAAAATGATTACATTAGCCCAAGAATCATTTTTTAAAAATAGGAAAAAAAAACCATGTAAGCCTACTGGTATAAATTGTTTGCTTTGGAAATCAGAACAAGATTATAGAAGATAACCAGTAACTGTGCTTCAAGGATGATAGAATTAGACATTCATACAGTTGGGGGCAGGGGAAATATTTCATTTTTGACAAATTTCTCATAGATGATTCTTGTTTGCATATTGAATTGGGGAGAGAGCTTGTGGAATTCCCTAACATACACGCAGAATTTGTGGCCTTTAAAGAATTTCAAGTTTGTTTCAGGTATCGTGGCTTTTCCTTTCTGAAATGAAGCAATTTTTATATTGGTAAATATTCTATTCTGGATCACGGTTTCATTTTATTAGCTTTAAAAAGCTCTTACATATTTTAAAAAAATGTGAAATTAAACTCTAGGATAGAAACTTTGTATTTATTTAAAATACAATAATTTAGAGAGGAATAATTGTTTCATAATGCAAGAAGGTGTGAAAAATGGTGATATTATGGATGTTGTCAAAATATTTCTGTACCTATGAATTATGAATTTCACATTGTAGAGAAAAATCCATAAACAGTGCTGGACTGAAAGTATTTTCAACATTTTGACACATATTTGCCAAAGATTTCACTGAAAAGTAAACCATCATAGAAAGAGTGACAAATTCCTCTCCTGTTCCTTTCCTGGAAATATTTTCTATAAGAGTTTTAAGCATCAGGATGAAACTCTAAAATAACTTTAAATGACATGCACCATTTAAGCTGGTTCTAATTATAGTAGGTTAGTACAATGTTTAGTTGATAATTATTTAGAAAACATTTAACAGAAATTTAGCAATCAGAAATAAAATAATATTTTGCTAATAATATTTTAGGGAAATAGTATTTTGAAAAGTACTTTTCAAAACTTAGTGAAAAGTATCCACTAATACAGTGCAATTTATGGGCGCTATACTTAAAAAAAAAACCCAACTACAGATGTTCCCCTTTTTTTCTTACCTTTACATTTGAAATGATTTAATGTGCTCTACAACCACAACTAAATTCAAATGTCTATGTAAAGAATCAGTCATATTGAATGCATATTTTATATAAGCATTTTAATAAGATTTGAGGTACATTGACCCCTTGTTTATCAGTTAGCTTTAATTCTAAAACTAATTGTCTTCTATTGGTCTAAAAACAGATTCAGTAAATGCATTATTAAGCAGATGGCTGCAATTTTTTCTCTTCAGGTTGTAGATGTTGGACTTTTATAAACAAATAGGATTCCTGTTCATGTGCATTTAACATTATCTGTGATGACAATTCAATTTACTATAAGGTCATTCCCTCCACCCCAGCCTACTAAGCTGGCATAAATTGTATTATTAGATAATAGTAGCTGTTGTGTTAAGGAGCATCAGAATGCATGTTCTATACTGAAACCTGATTTTTCTAACTCTTGAAATGTATAGACATCATTAAAATGAAAAGCTGGCTAAGATAAATCTTTATCTGGTTTATATGCCCTATTAAACTGATGTTTAACCTTTCAAAGTAGATTAAAGTTAGATCGCTTCTTGCTGTCTTTGTAGTTTGGCAGAATTTTAGGGCATTAAGCACCCTCTTCATTAAGGCTAGATAAATATTTTTGGTGAAACTAAGAGAAATCTCAATGCAATTAAAGTACATAAAATATCATGCCAAAGAGCAACCATTCATATTCTATATCTGACAATCAATGGCAATTATAATTAAAAGTACTACAAAGAAAAATGGTAATGATAAATGAATCTTTGGTCATATCGTGGAAATTGGTGGAGGTTTACACTATCCATCATATGCAATCAAGTTGCTTTCTTCTGGAAGTAGTCCTGACTCTTAAAGTGGAGGGCCATTATCAAATTACAGTACATTAATCCCCCACGAGATGATAAAGAATTTACATAAATCATTGCATTTGCCAAACTCTAACGATTTAAAAACTTCTGCGCTAAGAATAACAAATGGGAGGTGTTAAGTCCTAGAAATGCTGTTTGCTGGGAGCTTGAGGTAATAAAGTTTCATCCTTAAGGGGCATCTGAATTTAAGGCAGAAAAAAGAAAAATCCTCTGGAGGAAGAAAGATGGTTTCTGTCATAATAATTATGCTGGTAGAATAACTGCTGATAACGTTTGCTTGCTTTGCTAATAAAATTTAAAATGCCCGAGAGAGTATTTAAAACAGATCCACTGGTAAAAAAGTAAAATGAAGTCATTTAAATTAAAGGTTTGTTTTGTTTTCAATATTCTCTTTCTTTTTCCTTCCAAACTGTGAAGCCGAAGCATTTTCTCCACCGTTAGCATTCTAATACATGGCAATATAACCTCAGCTTCTCTTCCTTTCCCACCGCCATTCTAATGTTGATGAAAAACATTTCATGAAAGATAGTTCTCAGTGCCTTGCTTGTTTTCCCTGTCCAGCTCTGATCATGTCCTCCTCCAAAACTTTTTGTTTCTGCCTTTTCCATCCAGTTCCCCCATTCCTTAATTTGCAAAGTTGTACTTTTTAACTGTAGCTTTTAACTGGTTTTTATTTGCTTTTAATGGTTGATGGTTGTAGTGGTTAACTGTGTGTTAATTGTGTATACTGCCTAGAGACACATGTATGAGAGGGGTAGCTCTCTAAATTCAACTGGTAAATAGGTACTGTAGGTAGGTAGGTAAACAGACAGACAAACTTAAATGGTAGGCATATATTTTTGATTTTTTTATAAACAGACATCCAGGTTATTTCACAAAGATAGATACAGGAATAACATTGTCTTGGCGGCTTTCATTCAACAGTGAATGAAAGCTTCAGAAAAGATTGGTCTGAAACCCTCCAATCATCAGTTATATATAAAAATCTGTCAACCATTTTTTAAAAAATGAACCAACTATAATATTTTCAAAGTTCTACTTCAATTTTAACAAGAACATACATACATTACTGATTCTCAGATTTATTTATTTATTTATTTTTGCTTGATTGAAGGAAATGGAACTGTTTGACAAATCCTGTTTAGACAGACAGATTATTTGTTTAAGTTATTATTTGCTTGCTTTTTAACTTGAACTGCAGAAGCAGCATACCAAGTCTCCAATCTGTTGTTGTTAGTAATCAGCTGTTATTGGATAGGAATATATTTTAATCTGGGCTACTGAGAATGTTCAAATCTGACTGAATTTATATTAAAAACAGTCTTCTAGCTTTGCTAAGATTCAAACTACCGGTACTTAGATAAACCTGAACTGAGATGTGGGTGGATGATGGGAGATTCAGATTTTTTCCCCATGAAAAAGCAATGAAATAACATATGGTTGTTCAATTATTTAGAGAATTTAAGGATGATCAATTATTTTCATTTATTACACCAGCAAGAGTGGCATACTCAGTTTCGAAAGCAGAAGATAGTTTTTTTACACTTTAGTAATTTCAGTGGGACTCACACAGATCTCCAGCAACTATGAAGAGTGTTGAAATAATAACAGGTACCACAGCACAAACATTAGTAGATTATTCTGGCAGTTGATGCTAGACTTTATAGAATGGAGTATGAAATAATTAAAAAATACAGACATATTCCATTTTGGTTAGCAAATCCAATAAAATGGGTGTATATTTTCCTTACTGAAATAGAGCAGCTAAATCCATCTTGGTTTCATATAAAGTGAGGGACACTTCCTAACCCTTGGGGATCTAGTGACCACTTTTTAGAACAACAGGGCATTTTTACCAGTGGTGGGATTCAAATTTTTTTACTACCAGTTCTGTGGGTTTGGCTTGGTCGGCTTGGCAGGGGAAGGATATACTTCAAAATCCCCATTCACTCCTCATCCCATTAACCTGCTTTCCAGCTCCGTTCTCCTGTGCAGGGCAACCAAGGAAGACCCAGCCAATTAGCTGGGACTCGGGAGGTGGAGAATAGATGGGGGCGGGACCAGTCAGAGGTGGTTTTTGCCGGTTCTCCAAACTACTCAAAATTTCTGCTACCAGTTCTCCAGAACTGGTCAGAACCTGCTGAATACCACCTCTGATTTTTACTATCTAAATCCTGGATTTCCAGCAGGGCCCTTTGAGGGTCACAATGTACTTCTTGATAAGCTTCCTACTATCCATGCAATTTTAGCTTTCTGCTTTGTCTACTTTTATTTTTAATTAGTTCATTTTAAATGAAAACATGAATGGGGAAGCTACCACACTCTCAAGAAAGTAGATTTGAAATAACCTCAACATTGATTTTTCTCCCCAAAAAAAGACAGGAAAAAGAAACAAAACCCTGACAGAAATGAGCAATAAACTGAGATGAACTGATGTAAACTGATCATTAGGAGTGGATGTGAGGGGGACCTAAATGCATTTTTTTTTCTGTG